CCATAACCATGGAAGAAATTGAATCAGTAATAAACGCACTACCAAAAAAGAAGAGCCCAGGACCAGATGGCTTCACCACCAAATTTTACCAGACATTTAGAGAAAAACTAACCCCCGTTCTTCTCAAGTTATTCAAAACAATTGGAAGGTAGGGAATCCTCCCAAATTCATTCTACGAAGCCAATATCACCTTAATTCCTAAGCCTGGAAAAGACACAACAGAGAAAGAAAACTACAGTCCTATCTCCCTGATGAACATAGATGCAAAAATACTCAACAAAATCCTGGCAAACTGAATCCAACTGCACATCAGGAAGATCATTCACCCAGACCAAGTGGGATTTATCCCTGGTAAGCAGGGATGATTCAATATTTGAAAGTCAATCAATGTAATATATCACATTAATAAATTGAGAAACAAAAATCATATAATTATCTCAATAGATAGCAGAGAAAGCACTTGACAAAATACAACACCCTTTCATGATGAAAACCCTAAGCAAATAGGGGTTAGAAGGAACATTCCTGAACACAGTTAAGGCAGTCTATGATAAAACAATGGCCAGCATCATATTGAATGGGGAAAAGTTGGAGGCATTTCCATTGAAAACTGGCACCAGACAGGGATGCCCACTCTCACCATTGCTATTCAATATAGTCCTAGAAGTGTTAGCCAGGGCCATCAGGCAAGAAAAAGAAATTAAAGGGATACTAATGGGAAAGGAGGAAGTTAAACTACCCCTATTTGCAGAAGACAGGATACTATATATAGGGGACTCGATAAACTCCTATAAGAGACTATTGGAACTCATAGAAGAGTTTGGTAAAGTAGCAGGATACAAAATCAATGCTCCGAAATCAACAGCCTTTGTATACACAGATAATGCCAGGGCCGAGGAAGAACTTCTAAGATCAATCCCATTCACAATAGCCACAAAAACAATAAAGTACCTTGGAATAAATTTAACCAAGGAGGTCAAAGACCTCTATGATGAAAATTACAAAACACTAAAGAAACATATAGAAGGCGACACAAAAAAATGGAAAAACCTGCCATGATCATGGATTGGAAGAATCAATATCATCAAAATGTCCATTCTCCCAAAAGCAATTTACAAGTTCAATGCAATACCAATCAAAATACCAAAGTCATTCTTCAAAGACCTAAAAAAAAAAAAAACGATGCTGAAATTCATATGGAGAAACAGGAGACTGAGAATAGCTAAAGCAATCCTTTACAATAAAAAGCAAGGCTGGAGGCATCACAATTCCAGAGTTTAAGACATACTACAGGGAAGTTATAATTAAAACAGCCTGGTATTGGTACAAAAACAGATGGATAGACCAATGGAACAGAATAGAAACACCGGAGATCAATCCAAACATCTATAACCAACTCATATTCGACAAAGGACCTAAAACCAACCCCTGGAACAAGGACAGCCTCTTCAACAAATGGTGCTGGGAAAACTGGATGTCCACATGTCGCAGTATGAAGCAAGACCCCTACCTTACACCTTATACAAAAATCCACTCAACATGGATCAAAGAACTAGAGATGCGCCACGACATCATGAAACTAATTGAGAGCATAGGGGAAACCCTTCAAGATATTGGAACAGGCGAAGAATTCCTGGAGAAGACCCCAGAGGCACGGGTAGTCAAAGATAAAATAAACAAATGGGATTTCCTCAAATTGAAGAGTTTCTTAACAGCAAAGGAAACAGGAAAGCGAAGAGGCAACCAACAGAATGGGAGACGTTATTCGCAAACTACACAACAGATAAAGGATTAACAAAGCTGACTTGCCCCAAATGGTAGAGTGAGAAACATACCAGGGGACTCCAATTTAATCCCATCAAGGTGGCATGTGCCAATGCATCTCACTAGTCCAAGTAATCATTTTCAGTTCACAATTGATCATAATGAAAGGACTAAGAGTCAAAGGGAGCACATAAACAAGTCCAGTACCTGCAAATACTAACCGATAGAATAAATAAAGGGGAGAGTGATCCAACATGGGAAGCGAGATACTCAGCAGACTCATAGAATGGCGGATGTCCTAAACATCACTCTGGCCTCAGAATCAGCCCTAAAGGCATTCGGATCTGGCTGAAAAGCCCATGAGAGTATTTCAGGCATGGAAAGCCAAGACACTCTGGCAAAAAAAAAAAAAAAAAAAAAAAAAAAAAAAAAAAAAAAAAAAAAAAAAAAAAACAAACCCTAAATGAAAGATCTCTGTGAGTGAGATCCCAGTGGAAAGAACAGGTCTTCAAAGAAGGAGGTACCTTTCTCTGAAGGGAGGAGAGAACCTCCACTTTGACTATGACCTTGTCTAAACAAGATAAGAGTCGGAGGACTCAAGGGGCTTCCATAGCCTTGGAAACTCATGACTGGTGCATAGGGAGATTACTGATGCCATAAACAAGAGTGTCAATTTGTTAAGTCAACAACAGGAGTCACTGTGCACTTACTCCTCATGTAGGATCTCTGTCTTTAATGTGCTATACATTGAGACTTAATGCTATAATGAGTACTCAAACAGTATATTTCACTCTGTGTTTCTATGGGGGTGCAAACTGTTGAAATCTTTACTTAATGTATACTAAACTGATCTTCTGTAAAAAAAAAAAAAAAAAAGAAGAAGAAGAAGAAGAAATTCTCAATTCCCAACTTGACTCTCACTGGGATTAAACATTACAATAGGTCTGATCTGATTTCAGCATCATTTAAAAAATCATCTATTATTTTTCACTTTATGTTTCTGTGTGGGAGCATATTGTTGAAATCTTTACTTAACGTATTCTAAACTGATCTTCTGTATATAAAGAGAATCAAAAATGAATCCTCATGTGAATGGAAGGGGAGAGGGAGTGGGAAAAGGGAGGGTTGCGGGTGGGAGGGACGTTATGGGGGGGAAGCCATTGTAATCCATAAGCCGTACTTTGGAAATTTATATTCATTAAATAAAAGTTAAAAAAATGATCAAAATACACCACAAAATCAAAACAAACAACCCATTAAAAAAATGGGCCAAGGACCTTAACAGACATTTTTAAAAGAGGAAATCCAAATGGCCAACAGACACATGAAAAAATGCTCAGGATCCCTAGCCATCAGGGAAATGCAGATCAAAATCACAATGAGGTTTCACCTCAGTCCAGTCAGATTGGCTTACATACAGAAATCAACCAACAACAGATGCTAGCGAGATTGTGGGGAAAAAGGGACACTAATCCACTGTTGGTGGGAATGCAAACTGGTAAAGCCACTATGGAAGACAGTTTGGAGAGTCCTCAGAAACCTGAATATAGCACTACCACAGGACCCAGCCATCCCACTCCTTGGAATTTACCCAAATGGAATTAAAGGGGAGAAAAAAAGAGCCATTTGCACCTCAATATTTGTTGCAGCTCAATTCACAATAGCTAAGACATGGAATCAACCTAAATGTCCATCAACGGATGACTGGATAAAGAAACTATGGGATATGTACTCTATGGAACACTATATAGCAGTAAAAAAACAATGAAATCCGGGCATTTACAACAAAATGGAGGAAGCTGGAAAACATCATGCTGAGTGAAATAAGCCAGTCCAAAAGGGACAAATATCATATGTTCTCCCTGATCGATGGCAACTATCTCCCTGATCGATGGCAACTAAACAAGCATCTAAAATGATACCCATTGGCGTGAAATGGACACTATGAGAGACAATGACATGATCAGCCCTTGACTAGACTGTTGAGGAACAGCTTACTATTTTATTCCTTTTAGTGTTGTTTTTGTTGTTGTTGCTCTGTTTGTTCTACATAAGACCACTTGTTGAACTCTGTAATCAATGCACAATCATTCTTAGGCATTTAAAATTAACAGAAAAGAGATCTCTGTTAAACATAGGAGTGGGAATAAGAGAGGGAGGAGATATATAGGTTGGCACATGCTCACTCGGACTTAACTCCAATGGTGGAACTAGAAGTGTGCCAGGGGATTTCAACTCAATCTTACCAAGGAGGCAGGTACCAATGCCAGCGCACTTGATAAGGTGATAAGTATAAATACACAACCGATCAATAAGATAGGGTATGTGTCGATGAGATTTCACAAATAAGACCAGTGTAAGCAAATAATGAAGGATAGAATTAAAAGGGAGAGAATGATCCTGCGGGGGAAACAGGACACACAGCAGACTCATAGAATGGCAGCACTCCTGCCTCAGAATCAACCCTTGGGACATTCGGATCTGGCTAAAAGGTCCATTGTCGCTCCCCCATTCGCAGAGGAATGACACAGGACCCTGCGATGTTCTTTCGTCTGCTCAGCCCTTCCCGGGTTTGCTGCTGGTCCTTCCCGGGTTGGCTGCCGACACTTCCACCTCCGTGGAAGGGCGGCTCCCCCTACCACTTTCCCCACTTCCACGGGGGAGCGGCACACCACCGGCCGGCTCTCTCAGGGGCTGCTCAGATGTTATCCGGAAGTTCCTGGTGCATGTTGTCTCTCTCCTCCTTTATAGTCCTCTTCCACCAATCCCAACTCTGCTACCCACATGCCGAGCACGCTGCTCTCCTCCAATCAGGAGCAAGATCAGCTCCTGCAGCTCATCAGTCAAATTGGCGAGAGGCAGCTGTGTAGAGGTTGTTTACTCCTCTCCCAGCGCCATATTGTGGGAGAGCAGATGCATAGAATAAGTCTTAATTCCAGTAACTTAGTCTAGTCCGAGTTGCTCCCCACAGTCCATGAGAGTCTCACAGGCATGGAAAGCCATGACATGGTGGCAAAAAACAATCTAAATGAAAGATCCTGGTGAACAAGACCCCAGCAGAAGGAACAGGCCATCAAGGAGAGAGGCGCCTTTCTCTGAAGGGAGGAAGGAACCTCCACTGTGATACAGCCTTGACTAAACAAGTTCAGAGTTGGTGAACTCAAGGGGCTTCCATAGCCTTGACAGCTCATAGCAAGAGTCTTGGGTGATTGCTGACGTCATAAATAAGAATGCCAATTGTTAAATCAACAATGGGAGTCACTGGGTTCATGCTCCCCACGTAGGATCTCTGTCCTTAATGTGTTTTACTATGAAACTTAAAAACAACACTACTAGTTGAACAATACCCTATACCTTGTACAGTTGTGTGAGTACAGCCTGTTGAAATCCTTGCTTAGTATATACTAAGTTGATCTTCAGTATATGAAGGTAATTAAAAATGAAACTTGATTAAGGGCGGGATGAGAGAGGGAGTGGGAGAGGGGAGGGTCATGGGAGGGAGGGAGGTGGTGGGGGAGCCACAACAATACAAAAGCTGCACTTTGTAAATTCACATTTATTAAATAAAAAAAACTATATATCAAACAAAAAAAAGAACTTAATACTTTACCCTTTTAGTATTTTTTATGTTCTACTTAAAACTATTGGTTGAACTCTGTAATTAATACACAATTACTCTTAGGTGTTTAATTAATGCTGTAACTAGTACTCAAATAGTATTTTACACTTTGTGTTTCTGTGTGGGTGCAAACTGTTGAAATCTTTTCTTAATATATGCTAAATTGATCTTCTGTATATAACGATAATTGAAAATTAATCTTGATGTGAATGGAAGGGGAGAGGGAGTGGGAAAGGGGAGTGTTGTGGGTGGGAGGGAAGTTATGGGAGGGGAAGCTATTGTAATCCATAATCTGTACTTTGGAAATTTATGTTCATTAAATAAAATAAAATTAAAAAAAGAAAACTACACATGAATTTCAAAAAATTTTACACCAAAATCAATTGATATTTTAATTCCATTTTCCATGAACTTTTTGCACAGATTCTCTTCAACCTGATTCTCAATATTGAGTATACTTGTCATTATTCAATTAGTTATGAAAAAGACTGTGACCAGAGAAACCTGGTCTTTTTTTTAAGATTTATTTTATTTATTTGAAAGGCAGAGCTACAGAGAGAGAAAGAGTGTGAGATAGAGGTGTCTTCCCTCCTCTGGTTCACTCCCCCAGATGGCCACAATGGCCAGAGCTGAGCCAAGCTGAAGCCAGGAGCCAGGAGCTTCATCCAGGTTTATCACATAGGTGTAGGGCCCCCAGCACTTGGGTGATCCTCTGCTGCTTTCCCAGGCACATTAGCAGGGAGCTAGATTACAAGTGGAGCAGCCAGGTCTCAAACCAATGCCCATATGGGATGCCAGCATTTCAGGCAGCAGCTTAACCTACTATGCCACAATACTGACTCCAGAAATATGGCTTTTATATCTGTTCCAGCACATAAAGAGTTCTGGGTTTTGGAAAAGTTATTTAAGCTTTCTAAACATGTGTCTTCATTATTATGATAGAAATAATTCCCCACCTAAGAGAATTGTTATGAAGGTTATAGATGATAACATACCAGGGTCCTTCAGAAAGTCTGAAAGCTATCTGAAGTAGGTCCTATATAATGACATTTTCTTTACCGAGTAGAAGATCTAGTACTTGGATAGATGGAAAGATATCCCTGTTTTATAAATGAACAAATTGGTATAAGCTCGCCCGTTTGTAAGTTTTGTTAGTATGAGATAGACCCCTATAGTGTGTCCATCACCGTAGAAGGTGATTAAATATTATTAATGAACCTGCAAAATTGCAGACAAGATCAGGTTCTTTTATAAACATTTGCCCACTGAAGCTCTATCGTGTGAAATATTCTTTTTTCTGGTTTAAACCTAGTCTAACTATATTAAAATAAATGAAAAATCGGAGTATTTATTTATAGTAATTGAGTTTCATGCTGTTTGCCTAAGAGAGGGAAAAATAATAGAAAATCCCTATGGATGAAAGTCCAGGAGCAGTCCAATTTGGGGTTCAGTGTTTGCTAAACTTAAAAGTCATTTCTCAGGGATTTGCAGCCTCCATCACTGCTCTCTGCTCGTTCTGATACCCAAATGAGAACACTGCCTTGGGCCCCAGTTATTCTGGACTACCCATTATTCTGTGATACTTTAGTGATTCTTTATCTCAGTTCTACAGTCTGCTGTCTCTGCCAGCAGTGGCTCTGGGGCCTTCTACTCTACCTTTCCTCCATGAATGTGCACCATTTCTAAATCAGCTCCAGTGTCTCTTCCTCGAGAGTCTACTTATCTCACACCACCCGCACCTTTCCCCTTTATTACTTTGATCTCTGCCTTGACCTTAATTACAGACATTAGGAGCAATTTTATTCCGCAACTCCATCTCCTTCCAGCATTAGAACTCTGAATGTACAAACTCTGTCTCACATATTCAATTATTGATTATTCTTTAAGGCTCTGCTTAGCTCAACTGACAAAGCTCAGTTCAACTGACACTTGAAGCTTTCCTTTAGTAAACAAATAGTTAGGCTTTTAGAGCTGCTTTTAAGATCCAGTTCCTCAATTCATTCTTCTTGATTTTGAATTAGTCACTCATGAACTTTGAGGATCTTTTATTTCATCTGTAAAATGAACATCTTTGTCTTACAAAATAATTGTAAATATTCAGCACAATATATGGAGTGCTAAGTAATGTGTGATAATGCTCAAGAATCCTAACGATTGTTCCTCTTCTGCTCAGAAAGTTCCCAGCATTTTTGCTTTATCAATTCTTTCACATATTTCTACATCTTACCTTGTGTATTTGGTGTCTGTGCACCTGTCTTCTCCTTGTCATTGGGTTTTCATTAAGAACAGATGTTTTCTCTTAACCATGTGTTTGTGTATGTGTCTGTACTAACAATTCATTCATGGCATATACCCGATGAATGTGTGCTGGGGTTCTCATCAGAAAAGTAGGTGGTAAAAAGATTTAAACTAAGCCGGCACTGCGGCTCACTAGGCTAATCCTCCGCCTTGCAGCGCTGGCACACTATGTTCTAGTCCCAGTCAGGGCGCTGGATTCTGTCCCAGTTGCCCCTCTTCCAGGCCAGCTCTATGCTGTGGCCAGGGAGAGCAGTGGAGGATGGCCCAAGTACTTGGGCCCTGCACCCCATGGGAGACCAGGAGAAGCACCTGGCTCCTGCCTTCCGATCAGCGGGGTGTGCCGGCCGCAGTGCATCGGCTGCGGCGGCCATTGGAGGGTGAACCAACGGCAAAGGAAGACCTTCCTCTCTGTCTCTCTCTCTCACTGTCCACTCTGCCTGTCAAAAAAAAAAAAAAAAAAAAAAAAAAAAAAAAAAAAAAGATTTAAACTAGTGTGGTAAATACATCAAAGAAACTTTCAAGCAGAAGGATTATTGGGGCCAGCGCTGTGGCATAGTAGGTTAAGTCTCTGCCTATGGTGCCAGCATACCATATGGGCGCCAGTTTATGTCCCGGCTGCTCCTCTTCTAACCCAGCTTTCTGCTAAATGGCCTGGGATGCCAGTGAAAGATGGACCAAGTGCTTGGGTCCCTGCAACCGCCTGAGAGACCCAAAGGAACCTCCTGGTCCCTGGCTTCCTATCTGCCCAGCTCTGATCATTGCAGCCATCTAGGGAGTGAACCCGCAGATGGAAGACTTCTCTCTGCCTCTCCCTCTCTCTGCCTTTCAAATAAATATATAAATCTTTTTTAAATATAAAAAATAAATGAGCACAAAATGGACCTTAGTGAACATTAAAGTATGACCTGAACTGTAGTATGTTAGGCAGATATTAATGGTTACTATTAAAAAGTAGGTTAGGGGCCGGTGTTGTGGCTTAGCGGGTAAAGTCATTGCCTGCAGTGCCGGCATCCCATGTGGGTGCTGGTTCGAGTCCTGGCTGCCCCACTTCAAATCCCGCTCTCTGCTATGACCTGGAATGCAGTGGAGGATGGTCCAAGTCCTCGGGCCCCTGCACCCAAGTGGGAGACCCAGAGGAAGCTCCTGGCTCCTGGCTTTGGATTGGCGAAGGTCTGGCCATTGCAGCCATTTGGGCGTGAACCATTTGCTGGAAACCACCCCCCCCCCCGGCCCCGCCATCACTGCCTCTTCTCTGACAGTGTAACTCCTTCAAATAAATAAATAAATCTTTAAAAAAAAACCTGGAGTTAAACTGTTAGATGCTCTACAGTTTTTATTAACAGTTCATTTCATAACTTTTCCCTCCATTTGTTCCCTTCCCAGAAGTGAAGTAGACTGAGCACCTGTTGAGGGATCTCAAGCTTGTTGGCTATTTTCAACCAAGAAATTACATGACAGAACTAAATGCAAGTCTGAAATTGTTCCTCTTTCCTAAATATTACAGGAAAGCTCTTTGCATATATGGAGTAAGCAGACAAATTATTATGTGACTAATTATTTGTATTTACTAAATGGAAGTTTGAGAATATATTACAAAACTGAGGGTCTGCATTTCAGATACACAGATTTTTTTTCTGTCTCACAGGAAGCTGACAAAAATAAATAGTAGTGAACCTTATCACAATATATAATGTTCATACCTGTATTACTTTTAAGATCTTGTTTCCAAATTCACTTTCCAGGAAGTTGATTTGTAAGTTTGAGGTGGGTACATTTAGAAGTGTGTATTTATAAGTAAATGTTAGCAAATAGTTACTATGTAGAATTAAGAACTGGGGCTAAAATAAAGAACAAAAACAACTAAAAATATTTCATGCCCTCATTTATTTGAAGTCTTGAAGCTGAAAGTTGCTTTTTTTAAAAGGAGCTCATGTTATGACCCTAGTTTAAAATACTTCTATCATTGCATTTTACCCTGCGGAGCACTAAACTAACATGGAATCTAGGTTGCTTCTAACTCTATAAAGGTTGGAAGAGGAAGTTTTCATATTGGGAGCTCTCTTGCCTGCCCTAAAGACTTCTTTGGTTAAAAGCAATGCAAGAGGATCTAAATATGCTTATTCTTTAAATTAAAATAGACTCTGATAATCATTAATAACATATCTATGATAAAAACGTGTCTGTGAAGTTCTTACTTCTATACATGTATAAACTGTCATTCCTTCTATGACTACAATGGCATAATAAATAGCTACTATATGTGAAACACAGTACTAGTTCCTTTACAGATCATATCTGTTATCCTGACACAATTTCCTGTCCCTCTCTTTCCAGATACTCACACATCAATAAAAGAAATTCTGGAACAAATGATCTTAGAAAAGATGTGACCAATTCAATCTACTATCCCGTTTCTCTTCATGATACCCCTGGATGTAAGCCTCTGTCTGCTAATACACCTATTAAGGTTTTCACTCGTTCTTCATCCATTTCTTCATTCATTTCTTCAGCCATAAGCCCATCACATTGGGAAAGCTATTTCAAAGTCTGCATTAAGTAATTACTGTGAATTGGGCAGTTTCCAATGAGATGCAAAGCAGATATGGTTCCTGTTCCCACAGAACTTGCAGTTTGGTAGAGGAGATAGACACAGAGAAACTAGTTAGCTAAGTGCCTACATAATTAGACAGCAAAACATGAGTTGTGATAGCAGGAAATCACAGGTGATGAGAGAATCACAATAAGGCCCAATTTAGTTTAGGAGCTTGGGGGAAAAATGTATTTAAGAGGATGTCTAAGAATGATTAGGAATTGGTCAAAGAGAAATGAGGAGAAGGAACTCCAGGTATGGGCTCCAATGTGGAATAAATGTGAATAAAGTTGAGTAAGCCTGAGAATTGGAGGAGCTGTAGGATAGCCAGTGAGGCAGCATGCTAAGTAGAGAAAGGTGGAAGAAAACAGAAGACAGATCAGGGAGCAACCCAGGTGTCTTTGAGACCTTTTGAAGGAAACATTATGCTCTCCAGTAGATATAGACATTCCTCACTGAGCTATCCTCTACTGCCCATGTGGAGCCCCTCCTCGCTCCACTCAGGTTCTGTCCTGCCCCGACCATGCCAATGCTTCTCCCTCCAGTTTTGGCTTTTGCTCCCTCCGCTAGGCCACGTTCTTCCCCTGGGCTCTGGTACCATCACAGTTAACACCCTCTGAAGACACTTAGCCAAGGCTCTGCCTCTCTGTGCCACTGGTTTTCCTAGGAACACAGACAACTACCCCAAGTTTTGGACTAAAAAGGCAGAAAACAGAAGATAAAAAATAAATGAAGAAGCTAGACAGGAAAATGAAGAGGAAAAAAGCAAAATAAGATGATGCAGAAGAGATAAAGAAAAATTTGAATTTGAAAAGTAAACATAAAATCGTAAATTTAAAGAGAATTTAAAGAGTACTCAGTCTGGTAGTCCCTAAATCTGATGAAATATTGGATCACCTAGAGGACTTTTAAAAACTAGGAATCAGGAATGACTTGGTGTAATTTATATTGTTTTTTCCCTAATGCCCTATTCATGAAATGTTCTGGTGTGACTGTTTTCAGTCTGTCCCATACAGGATTCTGAGGTTGTCTCTAACTTCATTGGAGTGTGTGTGTGTGTATGTGTGTGTGTGTGTGTAAGTGAGAAGAAGGTGGGATTTAGCATCTCTAATGAAACTCCACTTCCAGTTTTCCAGGGTAAAATAGAATTCCAAATGCACTGTCTGTATTTGACATTCATGCAATACTTCATTAAAAGGCTTTTATGCTTTAACATGCAGTGAAAGGATTGCAGTAGACTATTTTGCTTCCCTTAATTACATATGGGAGATAAAAAGGAAACTAGAGAATCTTACTGCATTTAGCCTTTATTATAATCAAGGCAAATGCTTAAAATACTGAAAGGATCTTTATGAAATGCAAGCATTCTTCAGTGCAACATTACTTCAACGTGCCAATCTCATTTCATGTTGTACCTAATAATATGCATAATTTAATAATATTTTATACATATATACATATACTTATTCTTTGTACAAAAGAGCAATTCAAAAACTCATTTATGCTTTCTAAGGCAAATACCTGGAATTTTAAAACTAATATTTATAAAAACATTTGCTAGCTAAATTATGATGAACATCATAGCTTTAACTTTTTTTACCCCCTGGCAAGTTAAGTACAGTAATATGTAAGAGGGGAACAAAAATTCATGAAAAATGTGCAATATATTTTTTTTGAAGAGAGAGGTAGAGACAGAAAAAGAGAGGTCTTCTTCCTGTAGTTCACTCCCTAGATGGCTGCAATGGCCAGAGCTGTGCTGATCTGAAGCCAAGAGCTAGGAACTTCTGGGTCTCCCTCATGGGTGCAGGGGCCCAAGAACTTGGGCCATCCTCTACTGCTATCACAGGCCATAGCAGAGAGCTGGATCAGAAGGGGAGCAGCCAGGACTAGAACCGGCACCCATATGAGATGCCAGCGCTTCAGGCCAGGGCTTTAACCTGCTGCACCACAGCGCCAGCCCAGTGTGCAGTACCTTTTAATATCATTCCCCTTTTTAAAAAAGATTTATTTGAAAGGCTGAGTGAAAGAGAGAAATATAGAGAGAGAACCTTCCATCTGCTGATTCGTTCCCCAAATGACAACAGCCGTGAGTGGGCCAGGCTGAAGCCAAGAGCCAGAAACTCCATGCTGGTTTTCCACATGGTTGGCAGAGGCTCAGGTACTTGCTTTTCCAGTTCCATTAGCAGAGATCTGGATTGGAAGCAAAGCAGTCAGGATGTGCGAGTCCCGGGTGGCCCTTGCATCTTACAGGATTTAGTTTGTTGTAACTTTTCCTTGTCTCAATATAATTGCTATTTCCCTTTGGATTTCTTCTTCAGTGGTTGTTCAAGACTGTAACATTTAATTTCCACATATATGTGAATTTACCAAATAGCATTCTGTTATTATTTTCTAGTTTCCTTCCATAGTGACTGCAAAAGTTACTTGGTATACTTAATTAAAAAAAAAAACTGTTATGACTTATTTTGTGACCTAACATGTGACCTGTTCTGGAGAATGTCATGTTTACACTTGAGAAAAATGAGTATTCTACTGAATACAGATGAAATGTTCCATTCTTTTCTGATTGTTCCATTTTATCTATAGTATATATGAGGTCCATTGTCTTCAATGATTCCGTGTTTGGATGTTCTATCTATTGTCAGAAGTGGAGGACTGAAGTCTCCTACTAGCATTATATTGCTGCCTACTTCTTCCAACCTATTAATGTTTATGGTTAGATGTGGTAATGTTTATCTATAACTTTTATGTATTCCTTCTGAATTGACTGTTTTATTATCATATTATTACTTTCTTTGTCTCTTATGACTGTTTTTGACTTAAAGCCTATTTTGTCTTATATAAGCATAGCCACTCCTGCTCCCTCTTGGTTACCATTTGCAAGGATTGTCTTTTTCCATCCCTTCACTTTTAGTTTGTATTGTCTTTAAAGTGAGGTTCTTGTGGACAGAATATAGTTGAGTAGTTGTTGCAGCCACTCTATCTCTTTTGATTGGAAGTTTTAAACAGCTCATCTCCACTATTAGTTCATTTGCTATGATTTTTTTTAAGTTTCCTAGTCATCATTCTAGGAATTATAATAGACATTGCTAACCATAGAATAAAAGATCAGGGATAGCATAAAGAAAAATATTGTTTCACATAGTATGTGAACTAGAACAGTATTTTTTAAAGGTTGGTCTTTATCAAGATGTGTGTTATAAACTGCAGAGCTATGCTTAAGTGATAGCAACCTGGTGACTGTTTAGCTCTGTGAGAGCTACCCAGTTTCCTTCTTTTAACTATTCTGATCCAGGACCCCAGGCCTTCTCTGCTATTGTGAATTATTTTATTTTGTTTTAGTCTGGTCTTGTGGACTGAATTTTGTCCTCCCAAAATTCCTCTGTTGCTGGTATTCAGAGATGGGGCTTTGGAAGATAATAATAGCTGTAGTAGATTATCCAGGTGGGCCCTCATGAAAGGATTAGTGCCCTTGTAAGAAGTTCTTTCTCCTCCCTCTCTGCCCTACACACACTAAGAAGTTATGTGAGCACACAGCCACACGACAATTGTCTACAGTCTAAGAAGAAAAAAAAAAAACCCTACAGAATGAAATCTACCTTGCCAGCATCTTAATCTTGGACTTCTCATCATCCAGAAATAGGAAAAATAAATTCCTGTTGCTGAAGCCTTTCATCTTTAATACTTTGTTACTGCAGACTAGTCTTTCAAAGTAAACTTCTTAAAAGGAGAGGATTGTACTCTACAGAATTCCCTCCATGTTATATAAAGCTGATTATACATGTATTTAAGACCTTCCTTATGTGACAAGCAATACAGAGAATATTATTAAGGAAGAAAATATTAGTAAATATGAGGCTGGCAAAATAATTCTGAAGTACTTAGGTGGAAAGGAAATCTATTTAATACAAGTTAGCTGACCTCAAGTTTTGGGGTATACTCATATTTATTAAAATGGAAATGCAAATTGCACGTTGTTCTAACACTCTTTAAGGTAACATACAGAGAAAAATTACATCATTAGGACTGCATTATGCTGATGATTTAGAAGAGTAGGATTGCTCTTTTCTCCTTATTTATGATCCCTACAATACTAGCATAACATTTCTTTTAATAGCTCATTAATACTTGATTTTTTCATTTATTCCTGTCTAGTACACCGTATGTTCTCTTTATACACCTTTTATAAAGACAGATCACTGTGTTTGACTCGGTGAGTTACAATGGCAGAACAATGATCTGAACACAAACTTAGGAGACTTGGTTGTTTTCCATTGTGCAGAATGTGAGCGAGTCATTCCACTTCTTTGGAGCCCTATTTCCCTTAGAAAAATAACAAGATTGGCAAAGGAGTCCCATAATTTCCTGTACTCTTTCATTAACAAGAAAAAGATTTTTAAGCACTGATTCTATTAGAGACCCTGAATTAGGCACCCATACAAAATCTTTTTATTTATTTATTTATTTATTTTAAGCTTGGTGATAGAATTTATTTATTTATTTATTTTAACTTTTATTTAATGAATATAAATTTCCAAAGTACAGCTTATGGATTACAATGGCTTCCCCCCCCATAACGTCCCTCCCACCTGCAACCCTCCCCTTTCCCATTCCCTCTCCCCTTCCATTCACATCAAGATTCATTTTCGATTCTCTTTATAAACAGAAGATCAGTTTAGCATACATTTATAAAGATTTCAACAGTTTGCTCCCACACAGAAACACAAAGTGAAAAATACTGTTTGAGTACTAGTTATAGCATTAAATCTCAAGATACAGCACACTAAGGACAGAGATCCTACATGAGGAGGAAGTGCACAGTGACTCCTGTTGTTGACTTAACAA